CCAAGGAGTTTGGGAAGAAAAGCGTCTGGACTTCTTTAAGTTGCTTGAAGACGTTTCACCTCTCATTTGAGAAGCTTCTTCAGTTCTACGGTGAAATGGTGGAGAGTCCCAGGCTAAGTCCTCACTAATGCGTTTTTGTTTAAAAACTGATCGTTTTCTGTCCGTTTTGGCCTCCCGTCCACACTGAGACGATGTTTTTGCTGACATAAAATTCACACTAGTCCGGATAGATTTGAAAATGGCGTTTTTATTTGAAAACGCTCAGCATCCACACTATCGTTTTCAGTCATTTTCACAGAGTTGTGCGCCAAAAGTGCTTACATTACAGTACTGTGCATGCGTGAAACACAAGAAGATTCGACACTTATTTACCTTTTGGCTCTTTGAAACGTTGCGGCAAAATGTCGAGGAAAAGCACCGAGTTTTTAAAATGGACTAACAATGAGAAGAAGTTGTTGCTGCAAGTAACACAAAAGTACGAAGTAGCAAAAGCGAGTGAGAGTTAAAGAATTTGAAGAAAAGCTATCTGGAGCATGTACAGACTGATATTAATCTTTAATAGGGCTGTCAAAATTGAGGGCAAACAAAACAACTGCTGTATAATGCCCTCCGCTATCTTAGTTTAATTGGTCACATGACTGCATCACATGACTAACATGCGTCATCGTTTTAGAAAGTCTCGGTTTTCGCTGTCCACACTGCGGCAAACACACCGTCTTCAAATGTATGCGTTTTCGAGAGCGTTTTGAAAACTATATGTTTTTCCTTGGAGAAAACGTTGTCTCAGTGTGGACAGGAGGCCAAAACGGAGAGAAAACAATGCGTTTTTAAACGAAAACGCATTAGTGTGGATGTAGCCTAGAGCAGCTCTCAGGCTGCTGGTTTATTTGTTGTTCCTTGGATATTTAAAAGTAGAACGGGAGGCGGAGTCTTCACCACCTCTTCTGTGGAATCAGCTCCCAGTTTGGATTTGGGACATGCTCTCTATTTCTAAGATTAGGCTTAAAACGTTTTCTTTTCGGTAAAGTATATAGTTAGTGTCGAATCCTTCCTTAGTTATGATGAAATAGGCCTAGATATCTGGGGGATTCCCTCAATGTGGTGCATTAACTCACCACATTTAATTATTAGTTATTATTCATCTGTGGCTCTCTTCCACAGCATGTTTTTGTGCTGTTTTCCTCCCATCACCTCCAACTGATCACGGCAGATTGCCGCCCCTCCATGAACCCGATCTTTCTGTTAAAAGGGAAAAGTTTCACTCTTAAGAGTTTGTGTAATTGTTGTGGTTTCTCTATATTATTGTAGGATCTCCACCTTACGATATTAAACATGTCGTTATGATTTGGTGAAATATAAATCTTACTGAATTTAATAGATAGACAGATCAATACTTTATTGTTCCCTCAAGGGAAATTGCTGTATTACAGACCATGATGAAGAATAAAAATAGTATTAATTTATCATCTACAATAAACAACAAGTGAGAAACAGCTTTAAAATAAAATAAAACATTGTATTAATATTCACCCAGAAACACCACATATCTGACATAACTGAATAAAATATTTACAGGAGTTACTCTGCTTGACATTTACTTTCAAATATATTTGCTTGCCGACCCTTAGACACTGCCCTGTAAATGTTTTATTTGAAGGGCTCGAGTGTTTTTGTGCGCCAGCTGAAAACAGCGATAATCCTACTTTAATAACCACATTATTTCAACATGAATTAAAAAACAGATTAAGCATAGATAACTAGTTCTTTTAAACTTTCTTATCAGTCACACACTTCTGAATTGTGTGTCATCAGCCTCTTTCATATCGCCTCTCCTTCAAAGACACCACAGCCGAGCTGCAGCAGACTCTGGACACTTGCAGTCCAAAGACAAAGGAAATCAAATATGACAGTTAACAAAAATAGTATCGAATGTTAACACACATCTTATAAGCTTTTAGTAAGTTGCAGGAATAAAAGAATCATATCCTATAATCATGTGTATATGCTTTGTATTTTTAAATACAGAGATAAAGTAACTAAGTGTATAAAGAACAACAAAGTCCTTTAGGAGGGATGGGTTTTATAACAAAGGTGACAGGCTCTGGTGGAGAGTAGGGAGATTTGAGCATTAAGGAGCAACTCGCATCATTGATATTACGTAACTGTTAAAACAACACTGAAATGTGTTGACGATTCATTTGAATTAAAATGGGAGTGTTTTTCTGTGCTGTACCTGAAAATATCTTGTTTATCTCAGACTCACACACACAGTTACTGGAACAACACTGATAGAAAACGAGTCCAACAGGTTAAAGACATGCAGAAAATATTTTTTTGGACTTGTGACCAAAGCAGTCATAATAAAACCTGCAGATTAGAAACTGAAAGTTCTGACTTTAATCGTTTAAAGTAAAACTAAAAGCTGCTGTAAAGCCAATTGTATTCAAAGTCTGCATTCAATATTTATTTTCATACATTTCAAACTTTTCTCTCCTCTAGTTATTTAATGTAGAAAAATATGATGCTAACATTCATAACAGCATGACATGCAGCTCCTGTTAAGAATGTCAATATTTTGTTTTCTCTCAATGACAAGAATAAATATTTTACTTGCTTTATTCACTCCTGTCATTTTCATTGTTAAAAAAAGGGGGAAGAACAAAAAACACTAACCTGAAATACTCAACGATTATTGGGCGATTGAGAGAAAGCCCTTCTTTAATAAACACCACTGAAGAGTTGCTGTGGATTACAACTGCCAGTAAATATGAACTTCTGCTTTTTAAATGTATATTCAGTAATAAAGATTTGGATTCACTGCCTCTGTTCATGGCTGATGGTCTGTTCTCTACATCACATCCACTTTTCCTCTGCTGTCAGTCTCAGTTCTGTCATTGTCATTCTTAATCAATCAACGTTTCCTGCCCCAACAATCACACAAAGCCCTATGAGCAAGCACATGGTGACAGTGGCAAGGAAAAACTCCTTTTTAACAGGAAGAAACCTCCTGGCAGAACCAGGCTCAGGGAGGGGCGGGGCCATCCATGACTGTTTGGGGGTGAGGGGAGGATGAAAGGACAAAAGACACATTGTGTAAAAGAGCCAGTTATTAATAATGACTAATGATTAAATGCAGAGAGGTGTTTGAGAGAGATGAGTGTAGAAAAAGAAGAAGATTAGGCTACTGGAATAAGTGGCATAACTAAGGGAAGGTTCAGTGTCAGCTGATCCTAACTACGAGCTTCATCAAAAAACAAAGTTTTAATCCTTATCCTAAAAGCAAAGTGGGTGTCTGACTCATACCTAATGGGCTCAAATTAACATGTATCTTAAAAAGAAATAAGAACTATAAGGAATACTGAAATGTGTTTAATTTTGGACTACTAACTTGTTTTAATGAATAGCTGAAGCAGTTTTACTTCTTGGTGCCTGTGGTGGAGGTGTGCTCCCTGGCCTGCTGCAGAGGAGGGGGGATAAGTTAGATCACACTGCTATCTTCTTGGCTTTTTCATTGACAGCGGAGCAGAATGACGAGTGGGTGGCAGCAGCCTTGGAGTGACTGTTTCCAGCGTGCAAAGAACCAAAACAACAGAATCGGCTGCCATAGACAAACTGAGCAAACTGACAGCGGTGTGTGTGCGTGGGGTCCTTTCTTCTGTGCCTCTGCACTGATTAAAAATTCTGTTAGCAGGAAGTTTATGTTGAGCTCAGTGTGTTTGATTTGACTTCATATGTGAAAAAAACAATTACACACAACTGAACAAACATTAAAATGACCAGAGACCGAAAGAAAACTCACACACAGAAAATGAGCTGAGGGAGACACCTGGTGGACAAACACAGACATGACAGTAAGAAAGACTAAAGTGCAGAGTGGAGACAAACAGCTGGAAATACTTGTTGGAAAGGATTGTCATGCTTCAGACAAACACACAGCACACACTCTAACAGTCCTTTATTTGCACTGAAGGAGACACGTGAAGGAACCAAATCACACAATAATGAAGTGAACACATTTATAGTCAGTGTTCAAGATGGTGGATAGAAATGAAATTCATTTTTATGTATTTTTATGTCTGTGTCTTACAGCAGATACAGCATTTACATAAACTCACTGGCCTTTTTCTACTGAACACTCTTTACTGATGGATGATTCGTTGTAAAAAGTGGATCTACCAACATTTTATTTCTTTGTTATTGTGATTAAAATGTCAAACAAATATATTTTCCACTTTTTGTGTGACAGATGCAGGAATTTCTCTGTCCTGCATGTGGAGAAATCTGCTGTTAAATCAGAACATTAACAGGTTTCAGGTTGTATTCAAACACATATTACTGTGTATCATGTGTCAGCAGGCACGTGTTAACAGGGACTATGAAACACGTTATAAGATGGTCTCAGGCTAAAAATACTTTGCTTCGTTTAAAAGAATGTAGGCAAATGTTTTCACGGATATGCATTAAAACAACAACAAATATGTAAATGAGTAATATCCAAGCAAATAAATAAATAAATAATATAAGACTGTTTTTTAATTCAGGATTCCTTTTTGACATATTGAATCCTGATAGTTTCTCAGCAGCTTCATCATAATGTGTTTTTGTTATCATACAAATTGGACAAATTCAAAATATCCATAAAACCAAAATAATCTGCTGTAGTTTTTGATGCTGCACCAACACGTGTGCTCATACTGTTGATGATTTAGCCTTCAGTTTAGAAGCATTAATAACAGCTGACTGTAGGGATATAATTATTTATGTTACTGCCTCTTTTGCTCTTCCTTATTTAATGATATATCATTAACAGCAGGAGAATGCATGGAGGACCTGTGATAAATACTGTATCAATAACAGGCATGAACCTGTTTACGCTTTCTCTTTGGAATATAAATAAAGTTATGAACGAGGGAGAAAAAACGTCACGTGACTGCAGGCCAACAAATCACAGTAGAGCAACAAAGTAAAAGGAGGCGTGTCCATGCGAGAATAGTCACGTGCACAGATATGGCTGCTGTTTGACGAAGTGGACTGAACTCCGGGGAGAGAGAAACTTACGTATCGATCCCGTCACGTCAGTGTAGATCAGTCTGTATAGATGCGTGTATCGATCCGCTCAGCCTGAGTTGAAGCAGCGATGAGTTCAGCTCAGTATCTGAGAGAGTTCATCAAGGAGAGACTAACTGCTGTTTGTGAAGAAATCTTCTCAGAGGTTCAAAAAACCATCGTCCAGTATGAGGAGGAGATCAACCGTCAGCACAGACTGCTGGATATCAGCCGGAAACCCGACAGAAACTCACACATCATAGGTATGGACGTGTTTTTAACTCTGTGCTGTTCAAGCTCAGATTCTTCAGTGTGACTGACTTTACTAGAAGAAGTTAAACTGGGTCTTTATCAGTGCTGTGGGTCAGTGTCCAGTGATGGACTATGTTGGACTGGTGCAGGTCCATGGTCACTGCTAGGTTAGCTCCTGGTAGCAGCAGAGTAAGCCAATGTAGACAGCAGCATCTCTGAGCAGACCAGGGACGGATCTAAAGAAATTTTCTTCAGGTGGCAAAATCAAAGCCTTTTCTTTTCAAACACATATGCAGGTGGTACAATGATTAAAATGCAGTAAGTATACACTTCTTTAATATAACTATAGTCTATAACTTAATCATTGTCTGTAGCCTACATACTTAAAAACTTTAGTTACATAAAAAATGTGAGTTTTGATTCTATGTACTGTATAGTCTGTATAATAAATAAATATGTAGCTCAATAAGTATAAAATCCAGAAAGCTACACAACATAGGGCGGTTCATTTACACACACAAGTCTAACTTAAGTTTCACACTGTTTTCGTTAGAAAACATTCAAATTGTTACATGCTTAAATTTACACAAAATGTCATAAATCTGCACTGTCATGAACAAAAATGTAAACCTAATTTTTCATGATTTGTTGGGTTAACCCTCTGAGGTCCAAAATATAACCGGACATTTTTGACACCTTTTGATTTTACATTTGTATTTCACCCTCAGACTGTTTCATTTTATTTTTTTCCCCCTTTGCCTTGGTATCATTCTTTTCAGCTCAACCTCGCATATCTGAATTGTTTTTTCATTGACATCATTCATTGATCTGAAATCACACAAAAAACAAAATCCCACTAGTATTATTTTACTGTTAAAAAAAACAACACAGACATGTTGAGTAAATTATTTTTATAACTTGAAATGCAAATATAAATTGTACATTTTGAACACTTATGCACACATTTTGTAAACATATCTAAATCTAAACTAGTTTATCTTTCCACAAAACCAGATTGTAATAAATACTTAAACAAAGTGCTCTAATGTTTATTCTGCACTAAAATTTAGAGAAGCTTAAAGAAAAAAATGCTTTTTTAAAGAATACGCATTTTGTTGCATTTATTTAATTTTTTAAACTTTATTTTCTCCAACAGTTCATCAGGTGTCAGTGTTTTAGGTCCTATTGATATTGTTAGACAGACCATCTAACATGATAGACCTTATCACATGACCTGGTGATGAAGCTCTACAGTGAACATGAAAAATATAACGCCAAAGTGCAACATTGTTTCTGCAAAAATGACAAGATGCTAAAAGAATGTTAACAGAAAACTATTAATTTTATACATTTACAAATGAATATATCTCACTGCTCAGTGGTGCCTTTATTTTTAATGACAGTTGCACATTTGAACTCTTACACTTTAAACTATTTCAAAACTGGAAAACATTCATGCGTTTTTTGCATCATCACCTGTGAATTCCACCTCATTGCCTGAGAGTGCCTCTATGACCCGCCTCAGCTGATGAAAACATCCTGCATTCATATACTTAATTTAACATGATCAATACCACACTGTGGCGCTGGTCAGGCTACAATCTGAGCTCACTGTCTCTCCAATTGATCATGATTTATTCAGGCTTTGATTCATGCTTTTGTAAAATAGTGTTGCGTGTGTTCTTGTATCATCACATTAGTTACCTTGTTCTGTTTTTTTTCTTTGTTCCTCAAGACCTCCCACAAAATCATGACTGTGAGGAAGAGGAGGGTCTGGATGAGCAGCAGGTCTGTAACCAGGAGAGGAACTCCAGTCTGGTCCAGGAGGACCCAGAGCCTCCACAGATTAAAGAGGAACAGGAGGAGCTCTGCAGCAGTCAGGAGGGAGAGCAGCTTGGACTGAAGCAGGAGGCTGAAGGCATTATCGTCTGGACTGGGGAAGAGCAGCTGAGAGAGATGGAGACCATCTGGAAACCTGTGATAAAGTTACACAAAATAGGTATGTAAGACTCTGATGTCCTAATAAAAATGAAGGTCACCCATGTAGGTGATGAGTAAAAATAACATTGTAAAAAAAAAGAAAGATAAATGGCCTGCATTTGTATAGCGCTTTACTCAGTCCCTAAGGACCCGAAAGCGCTTTACACTACATTCAGTCATCCACCCATTCACACACACATTCACACACTGGTGATGGCAGGCTACATTGTAGCCACAGCTGCCCTGGGGCGCACTGACAGAGGCGAGGCTCCCAGACACTGGCGCCACCGGGCCCTCTGACCACCACCAGTAACATTGTAATAACATTGTAAAAATAATAGTGTTACTAAAAATAACATTGAGCAGAGTGCGACCAACTGTTCGGGTAACAAAAAATAAAACCTCTGTAACTCTCCATGTGGTCAACAACAGACACACATTATGCCCGTGTCGTGGACTAAACCAATCAGAGATAGTCATGGGCGGGACCTCTCTGATTGGCCGTGGTCCAATTGAAAGTGCAGTTGGAAGATGGAGGTGAGTAGCTTGAATAAAGCGATATCAATTCATTAAATCCTGAATCGACTTTTAAATATAACTGTGTTTTGCCAGAAACGCCAGATTCTCAGATTAAAGCTCACAAAACCATTTCAACAACAACCAAACAGCAAATGAGAGCAGGTACACGGATTCCACACAAAGACGTAAACACAGACCTGACGCATCAGAATCAACTTTGTCTTTCTCGGCTTTCTCACCCGACGGCCCGTAGACGGACACGCTGTCGGAGCTCTGTGTTCACGTCTTTTTGCGCTGATTCTGAGCTGCAGGTTTTGTCTCTCTCCAACTAAAATTCACAGAGCCAGCAGCAAAAGAAGCAGCAAACTGCGCTTCACATTTGGTCAATGTCGTCATGAATTCCCTTTGAGTTTTGCTGTTTTGCTTCCACCACGATAAAAATCAGACTTCATGCACAGCTAGCTCTCTCTCTCTCTCTCTCTGTACTTCAAGAACAGTTTCCCGTCTCAAATCTGTTTTCTGCACTATTCATTCGCTTATTACCCACCAGTCTACCGTTGATTACAGCGCTGTCGGCCGCTGTCTTTTTCTTTTTTTTTTATTTACTTAAATGACCTCGGAAAAGAAAGCCTAATTTCTGCTGTTTAATACTGAAGAAAAACTTTTTAAAATTATGCAAAATTACAGAATATTTTTAAGGTTATCTGCTATAAAAAGCCAGGCCAGAAAAATCTCCTTCATGTTTTTCTGTGTTTTATTCTCAGTTACTTTGACACAAAGGCATCTGCTGTGATGTTCACAATTCTGATGAAGTCTCACATGTATCCGTACTGATAAATGATCAGAATTATAATATTTCTGACTGGCTGAGGCTAAATTGAATCAAATCAGAACTTTGAGAACCTGAATCGAATGGATTATAGAAATCAGTGATGATACGCAGCCCTAGTGAGCAGCCTTGGCCTAACAGAAGTGGATGTAGCTGTGGGTAATAAGAAAAGATGAAAAGAACTATTGATAACTTTTTTGTTAAGTTAAGGCCTGATCCATCTGAAGTTCATAGCCAGCTCTAACATGGTGCCATCTGTCTTTGAACGCTGAAAAAACACAGTGTATCCAGAAAACACATTATATGCTGCAAAACAATGCACTGCCCAAGTGTCCCCTCTCCCCATTGCCTTTCAGCAGCAGACAGCAACAAACAGGTCGTCAGAGGAGGCCAAGATGATGATTAAGTTTAACATTTTCTACAATATTGCCAAAGCACTTTAAGCATAAGATTGTTAGTTAATAATTTAGAAATTAATATTGTCTGTATGGACTGCAACTCCCCCCCCAAAAAAGTGCACATGTAAAACTGCGGTGTTAAGTGATGCGGTTGAAACATTTTAGTCCACCTAACTTTTGTGCCGGTGTAACGATGGCAAAAAGTTAGTCTAGAGCCCTGTCAGTAAATGTATTTTTATCATTTTGTTCATTTGTGCTTTCAGACCTCCAACAGCAGGATCTCTCTGAAAAGGACGGTGTTCTCACAGACCAGCAGGTCTGTAACCAGGAGAGGAACTCCAGTCTGGACCAGGAGGACCCAGAGCCTCCACAGATTAAAGAGGAACAGGAGGAACTGTGCAGCAGTCAGGAGGGAGAGCAGCTTGGACTGAAGCAGGAGGCTGATACTTTCATGGTGACTCGATCTTATGAGGAAAGTGACCACAGTGAGCAGCTTCTTTCTCACAGCTCTCCTGAAGGAGAGAGCCGAGATCATGAAGAAAATGGGCACGTGGAGTCAGGATCTACTAGAAATACAGAGCTGAAGAAGAGACATCACAGAAAGAGAGGTCATAGACAGAGACAAGACAACACTGCTGTGTCAGAGAGTCAAAGTAAACCTGTCTCAAGGAAAAAGTCTCTAGAATGTGACATCTGTGGAAAAACCTTTCGGCATAAATTTGTGCTGACTATACATCTGAGAGTTCACACAGGCGAGAAACCGTACACTTGTAACACCTGTGGAAAAAGATTTTTTCACTCATCAGCATTAAAAAGACACAAGAGAATTCACACTGGTGAGAAGCCATATTCCTGTAGCACCTGTGGAAAAAAATTTATTCAGAAATCAATTTTGGACTGTCATGAAAGAAGTCACACAGGTGAGAAACCATATCCTTGTAGCACGTGTGGAAAAAGATTTTCTGATTTATCAGCAATTAAAAAACACAGGAGAATGCACACAGGTGAGAAACCATATTCATGTGGGATCTGTGGAAAAAGATGTAGTCAGAAAGCAGCATTGGAATCTCATGTAAGAACTCACACAGGCGAGAAGCCGTATTCTTGTAGCACCTGTGGGAAAAGATTCACTCGAAAATCACTTTTGAACTGTCATACAAGAACTCACAAAGATGAGAAGCTGCATTCTAGTAGCACCTGTGAGTCATAGCAGTGTGTTGGTGGTAGTGCTTACACTGTCAAGTCACTGCAACAACTGATTGGAGATGATTCATATTCAAGACAGTATTTTCTGCTATTTTAGGTCCTTTACAATTTAAAGCGTCTTGAGAGAACTGTCATTGTGATTTTGTGCTTTATAAGTAAAACTGAATAAAATTGGATTGTCTAGAGGAGTGAAGAACTCTCATCATTCTTTGTTCAGTTTATTACCTTATTCTTATAATTGCATATCCTATTAGAGTGATTAGAACATGCTGTAGGTATTACAGGTACTGCGCTGCAGTGGTTTGTAACATAGCTATCTAATAGACTCCAATTTCTTCACGGAAATGGAGAGTCCTCTTCACATGCTTAATTATGGAGTTCCACAGGGTTCAGTGCTAGGACCAATTCTGTTTACATTAAACATGCTTCCCTTATACATTTTTACTGCTATGCTGATGACACCCAGCTCTATCTATCCATGAAGCCAAGTAACACACACCAATTAGTTAGTTAAACTGCAGGAATGTCTTAAAAAGACATAAATACCTGGACCTCTAATTTTCAGAGTGATGCTAAAAAACTAGTTCATGCATTTATTACTTCTAGGCTGGACTACGTTAATTCATTATTATTAGGAAGTTCTAAAACCTCCCTGAAAAGCCTTCATTAATCCAAAATTCTGCAGCAAGACAGAGCCTTCAGTTTTCAGGCCCCTCTTCTGTGGAACCGGCTTCCAGTTTGGATTCAGGAGACAGACGCTATTTCTACTTTTAGGCTTAAAACCTTCCTTTTGTTCTAAAGCATATAGTCAGGGCTGGACCAGGTGACCCTGAATCCTCCCTCAGTTATGCTGAAATAGGTGTAGGCTGCTGGGGGATTCTCGTGATGCACTGAGTGTTTCTTCTTCAATCACCTTTCTCAGTCACTATGTGTTAATAGACCTCTCTGCACTAAATCATACCCGTTATTAATCTCTGTCTCTCTTCCACAGCATGTCTTATATCCTGTTTTCTTTCTCTTCCTGTTAAAAGGGAGTTTTTCCTTCCCACTGTCACCAAAGTGCTTGCTCATAGGGGGTCATTGATCTGCATGTATTATTGTAGGAATACATGCAGTATAAAGCACCTTGAGGCAACTGTTGTGATTTGGCACTGTTTAAATAAAATTTAATTTAATTAAATGTATTTTGAGGGTTTCATACCTAATATATGAAAACAGCATAACATAGTATTGTTGAGTTTTTCACAGATTTCTGTCTTTATTCCTGATGATGGATCCAGTGGTGGTAGGGGGTCCTTGTAAACTTGCAATGAAAAGTTTTGTTTTAATGTTCTTTTTCTAAGTAAATTGTGTTTTAATTAAATTACCTGAATAAATCTGCTTCATGACTGAACTAACAAAAACAATTAAGTTCTCTAATACAACTTTTACATTCACCCTCCATTTGGGCCAATTTACTCTTTGTAGGTTTAAATTTTTTTTGTGGAAACAGCAAAAGTTTCTACAGAACAAACGTCTTGTTCTTGCCAGACAAGAAAGTTGAAGCAGGTAGGGCCCTAACCCTATGTGGAAATAGCTCGGAGAGAGTTAAGATTTTCCTCTTTGAAAAAACACTTTGACTCTGGATTAATGTGCCATGAGCACGAATATACAGGGTGGGGCATTTATATGGATACACCGTAATAACATGGGGATGGTTGGTGATATTAAAGTCCTGTTTGTGGCACATTAGTATATGTGAGGGGGCAAACTCCTCAAGATGGGTGGTGACCATGGTGGCCATTTAGAAGTCGGCCATCTTGGATACAACTTTTGTTTTTTCAATAGGAAGAGGGCCATGTGACACATCAAACTTATTGGTAATGTCACAAGAAAAACAATGGTGTGCTTGGTTTCAACGTAACTTTATTCTTTCATGAGTTATTTACAAGTTTCTCTTTGTTCACAGCCATTGACATGTCAGAGGTTAACACGTGAGGAGCGGATCGAAATTGTGTTGATATCTGGTGAACGCAGTAACCGGGTCATTGCAGCAGATTTCAATGCAAGACACCCTACGAGACCACCCATCTCCCATGCTACAGTAGCAAACTGCTTGCTAAGTTTCGTGAAACTGGTTCAGTGTTGGATTTGCCAAAATGTGGACGCAAGAAAACTGTCACTAATGAAGAAACATCAGTGGCTGTCCTAGCTTCATTCAGCAAGAGCCCACAGCGTAGCACTCGCCGCATGTCACTGGAGAGTGGCATTAGTCAAACATCCCTTCGGCGGATATTAGCTACTCACAAATGGCACCCTTACAAACTCCAGCTACTGCAGCATCTCAACGAGGATGACCCAGATCGGCGCACAGAATTTGCAGAATGGGCAAAACAAAAATTGGAACAGGACCCTCAGTTCACGCAGAAGATTTTGTTCAGTGATGAGGCAAACTTTTATGTGAATGGTGAAGTTAACAAACAAAACCACCGCTATTGGTCTGACACTAACCCACATTGGATGGATCCCTCCAAGACTGTTGGAACAACAAAAGTGATGGTTTGGTGTGGTATATGGGGTACAACGATAGTGGGTCCATTCTTCATCAATGGAAACCTCAAGGCCACTGGATATTTGAAATTGCTACATGATGATGTGTTTCCCTCTTTATGCACTGAAGCTGGCACGTTCCCTGAGTTTTTCCAGCAAGATGGTGCACCACCACATTATGGGTGCCAGGTCCGAGCATTCCTAGATGAACAGTTTCCTGGAAAGTGGATTGGTCATCGTGGGCCAGTTGAATGGCCCCCAAGGTCTCACAATCTGACCCCCTTAGACTTTTATCTTATAGCTGTTATCTCTGCACAGTGGATGAACATAAAGGCCATGAAACAGTCCCAGCTGCAGCAGAAAGGACTGAGAAGCAGAAGGAGCTCGAGGTGAGACGACTAAACATCCAGCAGAGAATCCAGGAGCGAGAGAAAGATGTGAAGCTGCTTCAACAGGAGGTGGAGGCCATCAATGGCTCTGCTGATAAAGCAGTGGAGGACAGTGAGAAGATGTTCACTGAGCTGATCCGTCTCCTCCAGAAAAGAAGCTCTGATGTGAAGCAGCAGGTCAGATCCCAGCAGGAAACTGAAGTGAGTCGAGTCAAAGAGCTTCAGGAGAAGCTGGAGCAGGAGATCGCTGAGCTGAAGAGGAAAGACGGCGAGCTGGAGCAGCTCTCACACACAGAGGATCACAACCAGTTTCTACACAACTACCCCTCACTGTCAGCACTCAGTGAGTCTACACACTCATCCAGCATCAATATTCGTCCTCTGAGCTACTTTGAGGATGTGACAGCAGCTGTGTCAGAGACCAGAGATAAACTACAGGACATTCTGAGAGAGGAATGGACAAACATCTCACTGACAGTCACTGAAGGGATGTTTTACTGTCACCAGCAGAGCCAAAGACCAGAGCTGGATTCTTAAAATATTCACATGAAATCACACTGGATCCAAACACAGCAAACACACATCTGTTATTATCTGAGGGGAACAGAAAAGTAACACAGTTGAAAGAACAACAATGTTATTCTGATCATCCAGACAGATTCACCTTTTATGATCAGGTAGAGTGGAGAGGAGCGGTAGAGGAATAGAAGTAGCAGTCTCATACAAGAATATCAAAAGAGCAGTATAAATGAATGTGTATTTGGATACAATGACAAATCTTGGGCATTACTTTGTGAAAACAAAAGTTATTCATTCTATCACAAAAAAATCCAAACTGTCCTCTCAGGTCCTCGGTCCTCCAGAGTAGGAGTGTACCTGGATCACAGAGCAGGTATTCTGTCTTTCTACAGCGTCTCTGAAACCATGACTCTCCTCCACAGAGTCCAGACCACATTCACTCAGCCGCTCTATGCTGGACTTTGGCTTTATTTCTCTGCTGGAGCTACTGCAGAGTTGATTAAAGTCAAATAGACAGAGAAGATAGGTTCTTGTGGAAGATTGTTGGGTTTTCTTGATCACATATGACCCTAAACGGTACATCTTAGAGGTCTGAACTTTTGAAAAGTATCAATAATTTGAGTCATTATTTTTTATAATACAATTGATATCAAAAACAGCCAAAAATACTGAGGAAGTGTGGTGAATAGGGAAAAGATAAAAACATGTTAAAACAATATTGTGATTATTGCACTTGGTAAAAAAGAAAAAATTCAAAATGTACTAATTCATCGTGAAAAGATAAAAAGTTCTATATTCAAATAATCTCTACTATAAAAAATCTAAAATACAATTCAAAAAGTAAATAAGGTTTTAATAAGCTAATAAAAAGTTTTCAAGTTTGGAACACTTTCAAACAAATCCACACACATTTCACAGATCTGAAGGGGATCAAGACAATCAAGACACGTATTTTCAAATGTACCTGAACATGGTCATTTTTCAGTCTGAGATAAATCATTTTTGTATGTGTATCAAAAGCCTCAAAAAGAGATAATCAACATTTCTGCATTCATCATGTTTTCCCACTGTCACAGAAGAGGACATCTGATGGGGTTGAGGTGGAAACATCTGGTGACACAAATCTGAAGGCTAGATCAACCCATTTAACCACTTTTCGCCTCTGACGTTTATGATCTTCAAAATAAACGCAATGTCTTTGAGGTCTAATCTTTAAAAATGTCACAAGAATTTGAATCCTTGAGCTGTTACAAATTTTTAAATGTCTACTGCAAAGATCACAGTGACACATAGTGATCAGGCATATGATTTACAAATGCCCAGTTTTAGAGCTGTAAACTGTGAGCAATTCAAAGTTAAAAAAAAAAATATATATATATATATATATATATATACAGTGTTGGGAAGGTTACTTTTAAAATGTATTCCATTACAGAATACAGAATACATGCCCCAAAATGTATTCTGTAACGTATTCCGTTACGTTACTCAATGACAGTAACGTATTCTGAATACTTTGGATTACTTAATATATTGTGGCGAGTTCAGACAAGGAGGAGACGGAGGTATCGTTTGGTCTTGCTTCCCGTGAGCTAGCCAGGGAGCACAGCCGTTTATTACATTTGCAGAAGAACACACTGCCACTAGCTAACTGCTCAGCGCGGCAACCACAACACACATAGGGCGCCCTCTGACCCCGGAAGGACACACCGTCGCAGCGAGAGGGCGTCACCCGTCACCATGGCAACATACACAAAACATAACTGTACAAGCAGAACCCCGAACAGCCCTGACCCGCTACAATATTATCATGCTTTTTACAACAACGTGAATGTACTATTGCTGTGTGATTTATTACTATTACTGAAGGTCCGCGACTCCGAACTGTAGTAAAGGGACCTCTGACTAATGCTGGGCTCACACTGTGCGATTTTTGGCCCATTTTGAGCCGATTTTTGAGTCGTGCGATCGTTTTGGCGATCGGCCCGATTTTGGCCTTCATCGTGCGTCGTGCATCGTGTAGTATACGTGGGGTAACGAGAAGCGATTGACACCTCACGACCAGCTCCCGATCATCAATCGCTTGGTCGTGAGGGTGTCACCGCAGTTTGCCACACTGCGCACGCGCAAACACAAATGTCAGCGAAAAAGACGGCGTAGCACGGCAGTGCAGCGTGTGATCTGGACACAAGCGATGGAGGCACAACCTGTAGAACCATCCGAGCCCTTTCGATGTGGCCTCACAAAATTATCACGACCACAACAACCGTGAAAATAGTTGGATCGACACTGCTGCTCAATCACAGCTGCCTGACCAATGTTTTTCATTAGCAATTTAGCAAAGTTGATGGTGGTGGTGTGTCTGTGTGAGTGAAAGACGGAGAGGGAGAGCGAGCGACAGAATTTCTGTTATAACCTTCATTTTTATGGACGCACAGTGTGAGCACTCAGGTCGCATCAGAGCATCGGGCCGTATAGTGTGAGACCCTGCATCGTGACCTATGAACTTCTAACCCATCCATTCGCTTCCGCTTATCCTTTTCAGGGTCGCGGGGGGCGCTGGAGCCTATCCCAGCTGTCATAGGGCGAAGGCGGGGTACACCCTGGACAGGTCGCCAGTCTGTCGCAGGGCTAACACACAGGGACAGACAACCATTAACACTCACATTCACTCGCACATTCACACCTAGTGACAATTTGGATTAATCAATTAACCTATCCCCCACAAACTTCTAACCCCTGCGAGTCAATCGTACAGTTTGAGCAGGAGCTGAATCGCGCGACTGAAAAAATCGCACAGTGTAAGCCCAGCATAATACGGCGGGGTCCCTGTCGGCTGGTAGCCGAAAAATAGCTCTACTTTGTTGTGTGGGTCAACTTTTCTTGCGACAGACAGAGAGAGGCGTTGAAAGGCTGCTCCAACGGAACTTGTTGTTTTCGGAGGAAAACACGAACACAGTGTACAGTCGAGTCTTAATAGCTTACTTACAACTGGGCTCGTCAGGCACTCTTCTTGGCTGCAGTGGTTATTATTATATTTACATGCTTCCAGCTCCCGTTTTTGCTCGATGACTGCTCGTACCTTTCCACTCCCCTTTTTCTCCCTCCTAGCGCTCACAGACACATAACGTGTATGGCAGTCCATTCTCCCAGCAGCACGGACTACACTGCCCATGATGCTACATTCTTTAGAGCTATGCTTGTAGCATTCTGCCTGTTAGCTTAGCACAACAACAACGAAAAGGCGCTCTCTCACCCAGGAAACACACAGTCGCAGAGAGAGAGAGCGTCGCCCTGTAACCATGGCAACCGTAACGCTGCCGCCTGGAACAACAGAACGTAGCTGTCAAACAAAACCCAAACAGTCCTGACCCGCGACAAAATGAAACAGGAAAGTACCCCAGTGTATTCCATTTATTTCAACAAAGTAACTGTATTCTGAATACCACCTTTTTAAACGGTAACTGTAACGGAATACAGTTACTCATATTTTGTATTCTAAATACGTAACGGCGGTACATGTATTCCGTTACTCCCCAACACTGTATATATAGTATATAAAAATATTACTAAGTAATCTCATATCGCCCACCTATATATATATATATATATATATATAGTATTTTCGCTTTTTTTTTTTTTGTTCTTTCAGTAATAATAACAAACAATAAGACCAAACCCAGAGTACCCTACTGCCGATGTCACTGTAGAGGTAGATACTGTAGAACAGCTCAACCCCAAAAAAATGTTTTTGAAAATTTTTTTTGCATATGACAAATGTATTCATTTTTAGTGAACCTTCGGTTATTCACTTTACCTAAGCATAAGGAGGTTACTAAGGTCTAAGCTTAACCTACCTAAAAGTAGGTGACATTCAAATCCACAAAGTGTGTATGTGTGTGTGTGGCTGTCATTTAGGTTAACACAACATTGGAAAATAGTATTACTGAAACACACAGTTCATTGCATTCACAGTTTCGTGTTTTTAACATCATCACATTTTATCGTGCTATGTTGAATGGAAACAGTGTTTCACAAAGCCTCGCTTTACCCTTCGCTACATTTATATTAACTAGATAACTGAGTGACATGGAATCCCTTACTTAATAATTCACTTCCGAAATAGACATTTGAAGGATGCAGACACAACTCACGAGCCGCCGTTGTTGATAAATAAATAATAATAATGGACATGGTGCATAGGTTTAAAGTCGGAAATCCCGAGTTCTCTGTCGGAAATGTGTTGTGGAGGGCCCCTTACATCGGATTTCACACTTGGAAAGTCAGAGTAGACCAACATAAACGATTTAACAATCCAAGAAGGCGGGACTGAATGTGAACAAAATTAGAACTGTAAACTTTCAATCTGCTCTGCAACTCGTTCAATTAGTCATACGCAGAGAAGTGAACAGGCTCTATCATTGAATGTGTTTTTAAGCACAACAAATAAGTATCAGGTCTTACTGCTATCGACACTGGAATGGCTCTACCTTGCTAAACTGATTCTGTTTTATCTGAATGCTCTCACTCAGGAGTGACGTAACTCCCGAGATCCGAGGCATCTGGAACGCGGCATTACCATTCAACAAATCGGCGTGGCTCCCTGAGTCACGTGACGCACGAGCGCAAACTCACGGCGGACCTGGGTGGAGCGAGAAGTACGTCCGCAACATGGCCGCTGTTTGATAAAGCTGATTGAACTTAGAGGAAAAACACAAACTAAAGTACTGATCTTATGACGTTAATATCCATCTGATACCGGTGTCGATGCTTGTATCGATCCGCTCAGCCTGAGTTGAAGCAGCGATGAGTTCAGCTCAGTATCTGAGAGAGTTCATCAAGGAGAGACTAACTGCTGTTTGTGAAGAAATCTTCTCAGAGGTTCAAAAAACCATCGTCCAGTATGAGGAGGAGATCAACCGTCAGCACAGACTGCTGGATATCAGCCGGAAACCC